ATGCGAGGTCAATGGTCTAACGACTACGGCATGCACAACTATGAGTACCCCCCCCCCCCCGCCGGCAAGGAAGAATGTCACACATCCACGTGCGAACAGGAACACAACCTGCTCCGGAGTGGACGGGCACACGTTTCACTCTCTGTTTTTGTACTGCAAACAAACCTGGCTCCGCCCTGCTCCAAGTAGACGGGGCACACGGTTCGCCCTCAGCTTCTCTGCTGGAACCCTGGCTCAGCCGCCTTCAGGAGGCGGGGGAGAGACAACGCACGCATCGCTATTTGATGCCTCTTTGGTTGTGGTCGAAAAGAAAAGCCGACATCAAATCGTGGAAACTTCGGTCGTTTGAAGCGTCACCCTTCTTGCACGAACGGTTCCCTCCGAAAACCGGGTGGCGATACCACCACGGCCAGCACCGGCCCGCATGCTTCCTAGGAGACGTTGCTACGCTAAGAAATTATCACCAGGGGGCTCGAAACATCTTCACGGGAAACAAGAAAATATCAGGGTAGACTTTTCCACAGCCTAGCTTTCCTGTGGATCCAGGACAAGCGCAACCCGTGCTCGGCTGTGGAACTGCTGCAGGCCTCGACCTTTCCTTTGCGGAGCTTCTAGACTGCAGCGCCGTTCTGTAGTCTCTGTGCCTAGAAACAAGCCGGAGGGGGGGTGTACTCATAGTCGTGCATGCTGTAGTCGTTAGACCATTGACCTCGCATCCCTACAAAGCCGGGACGGAGCACGCCGGGTTCTCACCGGACCAGGCTCTCACATCACCAAGCGCGAAGCGCCGTGAGATATTCGGCGAGTCGCATGAAGGGTGCGCTGCATCCTGCTAAGGGTTTTCGGCATCTTGTGCTTACTTCCTTGCGTACGGATGGCAGCTGCGTATGACTTCATTTATTTTCTGGTGCTTTCGCTTACTGAGACAGTTGTAAGCACTGTGTAACTGCCTCGAGGGTGCTTGACCATTTTAACACAACGTGGTGCGATCATCCCCCTTGCGCGGAGTGAGGGTTCTCGACCCCGCACAACATGATCTACTCGACCACCATTATGGTTACCGTCAAAAAAACAAAAAACGGAGGTAAAACAAAACGGTAACCTGGTTGCCGAGCTCACGAAGTGAATTGGCTTGTTTTACAACGTC